ATGCGTACCTCGGTTAGTAGTCCCGTCCTGTCATACTTCGTTTTCAAGTCATTACTTGAAAATTTCAGTGATTTTTTCTTCTCTCTGCAACGAAAACTGGGTGAAAATTTTGAACCGTAGTGTTTCTTAGGTATCCTTTAAAAATATGGAGTGAGAGCGGAGATTTTTAATCAGCGCATCCGAAGTACGCATTTTTGCCGTCTCGCCGTCAAAATTTCTCACTTGTACATACTGACTTCGATTTGATTTGCGTGAAAGTATTTGTTTATGTACCGTGAGATACTTGATTTACAAGCTTAAAATTGTGAGAATTACTACGCCTTTAACTTATTTTCCTGGCTGAGACCCTGTCTATTGACAAATTGAGCACTGAAAAAAAAGAACACATTGGATCTAGAGTCCACAATCTTAAAAACATCGACAAGAAAAAATACTCTTGATTCAATCAGATTTTTGCTTAAATCAAGAACGAAGCCTCTTAATTTGAGCGGATTTTCTTTTGATTTAAGCTGATTGAATCAAGATTTTCAAAAAATACTCTTGATTCAATCGGATTTTTGCTTAAATCAAGAACGAAGCCTCTTAATTTGAGCGGATTTTCTTTTGATTTAAGCTTTAAATCTGATTGAATCAAGAAACCTTTTTCAAGTCAATGTTTTCAAGAGTCTGGACTCAAGATCCAATGTGTTTTTTTTTCCAGTGAGAGGACAGTATGTAACAAGATAACATCATTCCGTATTGCATTGCTGAGTACTCGTGAAATCTGGCAACTCTTTCACGGGGTAATATGGCATGACAGAGGGGATTTTCAGTCGATGAAGAATAAGTCGGTCCAGAGCGGGGCGGGGAGGGCGGGGGGTGCCTGGCACCTCCACCACTCAAAAGTTCCCGAGGATCAAAGTCTTTCGAAAGAGATCTAAATCTAATCAAACCAATTTTATTTTTCCCGTCGCCGCGGTCTGGGATATGGGGTCGCACTCTTGCCGCGCGGTTGAGAATAAGCACCCCCGCGCCTCGCCCCGGGGGCAAGCCCGCTCGAAAGTCGGACAACCCCGCCGGCAAATCTCTCTGAATTCGAGTCTAGAATTACATCATCCGCTTACGTCACAATCCAGTGCGATTCCTAAGTCAATTCGTGACATACTTCCCCTCCCCATTTTCATATTTGTCCTTCCTGGGGTCCCCGATTTTTAGGGCCCGACCCGTGATCCGACTTGGTGTGGAGCCTTTTGATTGGATCACACGATGATACGAAACTGGCTTCGCCTCTTCCGGCTTTTCTGAGGCCGGAAAGAGCATGGAAACGAAGTTATGAAACTTCTCAAAGACCAAGACTCGACAACTGAAAGAAAATTCAAACTCTTTGATTCTAAATTCTATTGATCCAGATAATCGTGAAATTATGGATGAATGATGATAATCGTTGAAAATCGGCTGTTTGGATTGAGAGGTCAAAAAGGGGCTTGTCTATACCTTATTCACAGCTTTCGTGCAAGTCACACACTTCATTGCGGTTTGAACAACTGTCCTCTTTTTTCAACTTTTCTTAACCAACAATATCCAGGAAGATGGATCGGAAGAGGAGGGCCAATAGCATGGCCCCCAAGAAGCCCAGACACTTGCTTGGATTTTTACCTGTGGGGGAAATTAAAGGATACTGTGTACAAAAGCCGTCCCAACAATCCTGAGGAGATGAAACAGCGTATACGAGACGTTTGCGCAAGCATCACATCACAAGAATTGAGTAGAGTTCGCAAAAACTCTCGTAAGAGGCTTGTAAAGTGCATGGAAAGCAACGGCGATACTTCAGAACACAAAAAAATCTAACTTGTGGAATATTCTACACACTATTCATTTAATGTGTCCTCAAGCAGCTTCCATTTTATGCTCTGCCTTGATCTCAAATGTTTTATTGATTAATTCCAATTTTCTTTTTCGTTTGTTTTCTTCTTTTTTTTATTCTTAGCATTAATTTGCCACGGCTATGCCTTATTTATGGATATGTTTTAGGAAGTGTTTATTGTTTTATCAAACTTTTTCTTTGAAATTTAACCGTAAACACTTTTGTGGTGGATCATCTATCGCCTTCTTTAATCTCAGACAGATTTCTGATTTACCTACTGCCGATTTTTGTAATCGAAAGGATTTCTAAGTTACCATTTTGCCTAAAGGAGACATTTTTTGTTGTTCTTGTTATCATCTTGTAAATAAATTCTCATCATTTTAGCACGCCCTTTTAATTTGACTACACTTAGCAGTAAAACGCGATGTTCGAGACTATTGTTTGGTAACATCATTAAAATTACAGATAGTTAATCGATTGGAAGTAGCATTTGTTACTTGCCGTCGAAAAATCCACCGAATATCCGAATGCATGGGATAATTGCCGCTCAAAAGCCGTGAAATTGACCAAAAACTGCGTTCTCCGCTATTTTTCGGTCGCCATTTTGGAACGGTGTGAGATGGCGACCTCCGGTTTTTGGTAAAGAGTTCGTTTCTTTATGCCCTTTCCACAGATGTATCACAAGTGGGGGGTTGCCATTTGAGATTTTTTAGTCACAGCCCCCAGACCCCCCTCCAAATGGGGAGCGCGGGTCCCCCATTTTTGGGGCGCAAAAGTGGTCATGTAGCACACCGATAGAAAGTTCTTGGTCTCTCCTTTATGCCCCCCGGCCGCTACGCGGCCCAACCCTTAGAGGACGCTTCGCGTTCTCTTAGGCCCGCGTCGAAAAACGAACTACCAAAAAAATGAAAAAATTTTCATACCAGACTCTCATTTATCCGATCTCCTTCTGACCAGGAGCAATTGGACCAATAAGATTCGAATGAAAATATCCGCATTTATTTCAAATTTCACACCAAGACTGAAACGAAACAGAACGTTTCGTCACTTTTGGATAGTCTGTAGCAATGGAGCATACCTTCGATTAACTTACCCTGCTAAAAGCCCAAGATTCAAAATTTCCCGCTTATGAGTTCAATATAGTTCAATTTTCCGCTACATTTGGAATTCCCACCATTTTTCATGGCGGAGATTCTCATGGGTGGAAACACTTCTACGTGGTCAAATGCATCATGTGATTCTAGATCCTTCACTTATGTTAAGACTCACAAATAAAAGAAGATGTGTATTTACGTGCTTTTGGTGATTCCTCGGAGTGCAAGCACGACTATTAGGTCGAACGCATCATGCGAATCGAGATCTTTCAGTTGTGGGTTTCAAACTCACAAAGCGCGGAAGATGTGCTTCTACGTCCTTATGGAGATTCTTAAGGGTGCAGACACGGCCATTCCGTCAAACGCATCGTGCAAATCGAGAACTTTCACTTGTGAGTTTAAAACTCACAAAGCGCGGAAGATGTGCGTTTACGTGCTTTTGGAGGTTCTTATGGGTGGAAACTCTGGTATTTGGTCGAATGCATCATGTGATTCTAGATACTTCACTTGTGAGTTTAAAACTCACAAAGCGCGGAAGATGTGCGTTTACGAGCTTTCAGAGATTCTTAGGGGTGCAAACACGACTACTCGGTCAAACGCATCATGCGAATCGAGATCTTTCATTTGTGAGTTTCAAACTCAAATATCGCGGAGGATGTGCGTTTATGTGCTTTTGGAGATTCATACGGGTGCAAACATAGCTATATGGTCGAGCGCATCATGTGATACGAGATCTTTCACTTGTGAGTTTAAAACTCACAAAGCGCGGAAATTGTGTGTTTACGTTCTTTTCGAGATTCATACGGGTGCAAAACGTAGCTGTATGGTCGAGGGCATCATGTGATTCGAGATCTTTCACTTGTGAGTTTAAAACTGACAAGGAGCGAAAGATGTGCGTTTACGTTCTTTTCGAGATTCTTAGGGGTGCAAACACTGCTATTTGGTCGAATGCATCATGTGATTCTAGATCCTTCACTTGTGAGTTTAAAACTCACAAAATGTGGAAGATGTGCGTATACGTGCTTTTGGTGATTCCTCGGAGTGCAAGCACGACTAATGTATTAGGTCAAATGCATCATGCAAATATGCGAATCGAGATCTTTCAGTTGTGGGTTTCAAACTCACAAAGCGCGGAAGATGTGCTTCTACGTGCTTATGGAGATTCTTAAGGGTGCAAACACGGCTATTCGGTCAAACGCATCATGCCAATCGAGATCATTCACTTGTGAGTTTAAAACTCACAAAGCGCGGAAGATTTGCGTTTACGTGCTTTTGAAGATTCCTCGGTGTGCAAGCACGAATATTGAGTCGAACGCATCATGCGAATCGAGATCTTTTACTTGTGAGTTTAAAACTCACAAAACGTGGAAGATGTGGGTCCTATTTTCAAATTCTGATTACTGCGGGATCATTTAGGGGCTATCACCTGTCGATAACCATAAAAATCATGAAAATCGACCCAGTCGAACGCGGGAACTAAGCGTTACCAGATATACGCAAATTTAGGAGGTCTCAGGGCTTATAGTATAGATATGATAAAACTGTGTTTTAGGTGTGGAATTTTTGTACAGCTTCGTTGATCAACTTCTCTGTAAAAGAGTAAATTGGTGGCGGAGGTTTTTATCCGTCTATAACGCTTAAGATACTATGGGTGGAAGGTGACGATTTCTTGACGTACACCGCATTTATAAGCGTCAAAAATATTATTCAAAACAGTTGAGAAACAATTGGATTGCATTTTGCAAAAAGGAACCACTGGCATTGCAATGTTGCTAAGATTGTGCATATTCTTTTATCTTGGAGGAAAAACCCGATTATCCATTAATAGTTTCTACTTTACTCGCTAAAAACTGTAAATTCAAGACAAAAATTCCCATCTAAATTTCGTAGTTTTTCACGATTTCCGCAATTTTATTTGCAAAAGATGAAGTTGCACAATCGTAGCATCATTGCAATGCTAGTGGTTCCTTTTCGCAAAATGCAATCCAATTAGTAATTAGGTGAAAATGTAAATTTGTTCCAAATTTGAAGAAAATGCAGTGTTGAGAATGCGCTCAAAGACTGGCTTTTCGTTTGTTGCAGGTGCGATATTCGAGCAAGGCACGACGGAAGTGCAGTCGGCGTTCAAGTTCGCGATGCTCACGCACAACGAGAACGTGACCGGGGACGGGCTCGCCGGGCGACGCTTCGAGTTGCAAGCCTACGTCGACGTCATCAACACAGCCGACGCCTACAAACTCTCCAGACTAAGTAAGTAGACCTTCAAATCACCACGTTAATGTCATGATATATTGCAGAAGGAATCAAGCGGGAAAGCTCTAATACTGTCGTATTAGAAAAGCGCTCAGGTGTTAGTAAATGTATTTAGTGAAGAAAGGAAGTACATATAAACTCCGTCGACTTGGCTTGGGAATGGAAATAAAACATCAGCTGATAGCAAACAAAGGTCACCAAGGAAACCGTAAACGTGTATTTTTGTTTCCCGTCGAATGAGCTCACCGTTGAGCTCATCAGGCGCGTTTTTTTTAGGCTTCATTTGAGTTCAACGATCAATTTCGATAAGAATTACTCTACCGCTAAGAAATTTTCTTATAGACAAACGATCGAAACTACCTGCGCATTACGTTAAAAGCATAAAATACAGTTTTCACAGCTTTATTTATTTTGACACCCCCCCCCCCAAAAAAGCCTACACGTCGATGAGCTGGTGCGCCCTTTAAACGCATTAGCACTAGTATACTAGTACTCAGAGGCAAGTCGAAATCAAAAAGCGCTGCCTATCGGCTGAGCGCTTAATAGCCAGCACACTGCAGAGGAGTAACTATGCCACTCTGCCGTGCTAAGGAAGAACGTCGTATGCACATTCGAGAGATGCCAAATTTACCTTTATAAAACAGGCATTTTCTATGGCAGTCGTACACATTTTTCTTAGAAATTTTTAGATATTTTACACTGAAAAAAGTATGTTACCATTTACTATGAGTCAACTTGATTTTTTACACAGTGATACTAATTAGTGAAAATAACCAGAATTATAATATTGCTCACCAAAAAGCAAGTGATTCTTAACATAATATGGTAACTGCTACTATTGTCACTATGCTACTAATGCTACTACTAACAGTGTCTTTAGAACAAAATTCAGTATCCCTCAAAATATCCATGTTCCAAGGAGAGACGTTTATGCACCACGACCCCATATCGCACCACCATTTCTTTTGAGAAATTTTCACACCGAGATTGACTAGTTCATTTTAAGGAAGAAGTGACAACAAAAATATCACTAACACAGCACTTTCATTAAAAAGAAAAATTGAACATTTGGAGGGTTTCCTTAGAGGAGTCCACATACGTTATGGTGGTGGATAATACATCGCGAAAGGCTTCTAAGAGGAACATTTAACAATAAACCTGATTCTTGACAAAAAATTGGCTGATCAACCAAACACTGGAAAAATAACACATTGGATCTAGAGTCCAGACTCTTGAAAACATTGACAAGAAAAAATACTCTTGATTCAATCAGATTCAAGCTCTAATCAAAAGGAAATTCGCTCAAATTGAGAGGCTTGGTTCTTGATTTAAGCTTAAATCTGATTTAATCAAGAGTATTTTTTCTTGTCGATGTTTTTAAGAGTCTGGACTCTCGATCCAATATGTGTTTTTTTTCCAGTGAACCGCTTTGATTGATCCAACCGAAAGAAATTAACCTTAAGTACAAAAACACAGAAATTACTAAAAGTAAAGCCTTTATAACGTTCGTCAACCAAAATGTATCTTCGGTTAGAGCATCGGAAGCGAGAGGCTTCCAAGAGATTTCAGAAGTTCGTGGAGCCCTTTTTGGTGAATGGAGACGCGCGTCGGGGCGAATTTACACGCGAAACGCGGCGAATTAACGCGCGAGGCGTTATCGGAGCGTCGCAGAACGGTGAAGGGGGGGGAGGGAGTAAAGCGCTCGGATCCAATTCACACGAGCCGCCCGGAATGCAAATCGCATCGAGATTAGACGAGGCTAATCGGAAACAAATTGATTCGAGCGCGCGGAAAAAATAGGATGTGCAAATAATTCGGTTGCGGCGAAGCGCGGCGCCGAGTGGCGTCCCGATTTAATGTGATTTCCTCCCTCAGCGCGGCGGTTGCCGGGTTCCATCCCCGAACCACTTGGAGACCGGGAAGAGGCTTTTCTCATACCACGAAATGCGTATGTCCACGCTGCCGTGCTCAGGAAAAACGTCTTATGAGCATCGGAGGGTTGTTAAATTTTCCGTTTTAAAACATTCATTTTTGAGAGAAATTATGAATATTTCTCCTTGAAAATTTTGGATGCGTTAGATCTCGTTGCGAGGGAAATTCTCTGGAAAATTGGACGGATCATATTCGTAAGTTTCTCTGAAAATTCGTAAATTACCAAAACATTTACCAAATCACTTGGAGACCGGAGAGAGACTTCTCTCATATCACGAAATGCGTATGTCCACGCTGCCGTGCTAAGGAAAAACGCCGTATGAGCATCGGAGGGTTGCTAAATTTTCAGTTTTAAAACATTCATTTTTGAGAGAAATTATGAATATTTCTCCTTGAAATTTTTGGATGCGTTGAATCTCGTTACGAGGAAAATTCTCTTGAAAATAAGACGGATCATATCCGTAAGTTTCCCTGAAAATTCGGAAATTACCAAACCACTTGGAGACCGGAAAGAGATTTTTCTCATATCACGAAATGCGTATGTCCACGCTGCCGTGCTCAGGAAAAACGCCGTATGAGCATCGGAGGGTTGTTAAATTTTCCGTTTTAAAACATTCATTTTTGAGAGAAATTATGGATATTTCTCCTTGAAAATTTTGGATGCGTTGAATCTCGTTACGAGGAAAATTCTCTAAAAAATTGGACGGATCATATTCGTAAGTTTCTCTGAAAATTCGTAAATTACCAAAACATTTACCAAACCACTTGGAGACCGGAGAGAGACTTCTCTCATATCACGAAATGCGTATGTCCACGCTGCCGTGCTCAGGAAAAACGCCGTATGAGCATCGGAGGGTTGTTAAATTTTCCGTTTTAAAACATTCATTTTTGAGAGAAATTATGGATATTTCTCCTTGAAATTTTTGGGATGCGTTAGATCTCGTTATAAGGAAAATTCTCTAAAAAATTGGACGGATCATATTCGTAAGTTTCTCTGAAAATTCGTAAATTACCAAAACATTTACCAAACCACTTGGAGAGCGGGGAGGGACTTTTCGCATATCACGAAATGCGTATGTCCACGCTGCCGTGCTAAGGAAAAACGCCGTATGAGCATCGGAGGGTTGTTAAATTTTCCGTTTTAAAACATTCAGTTTTGAGAGAAATTATGAATATTTCTCTTTGAAATTTTTGGGATGCGTTAGATCTCGTTATAAGGAAAATTCTCTAAAAAATTAGACGGATCATATTCGTAAGTTCCCCTGAAAATTCGAAAATTACCGAAACAAATTTGGAAAAATACGATACGGCGTTCTTCCTTAGCGCGCAGCACGGGGAAGAGCACTTACAGATGAAAAACGTTAGCATTTAAGTCAACATACATGACCCCTCTCGGTGAATGAACGAAGAAACTTGCAAAACATGGTATTGAATGGATTTACCCTTTTACAAAAACCGTTGTAAAAAACAGGATTTTGGTTCTTAATGCTAGTTCAGACGCAATTGCCGAAGCACCGGTGATGAACATGACACAATTTAACGGCAATTTTGGCTGTCCCTTTTTCTATCATGAGGGTTATTCAATTCTCGAGTTCAGTAATCAAGTTCGATGCATTCATGACAAGACAGATGAAAAGATTAGAACGATTCTCTGAGGAAAGTGTAAGAGGCTGAAAGATCAAGAAAAGAAGTCAAAGGGATTTCTGGGCCTCGCTCCTTATGTACCTTCCATTTTTCAACTGCTGTCATGGTTTTGGCATTGATTATTTACATGCATATTTGCTGGGAATAACAAAATTGACGATCAACGACGATCAAAACGATCGCGTGACGTCTCATTACCAACCTCGGTTAAAAACTGCATTCTCATTTCGAAGTGTAACTGTCGTGAAACATCCTTTCCAAAAACATTGCTTCCCACAGCAGAAAAAGAGCTTTATTAACTGAAATAGACGTTCCTGTTAATAATTTATACTGGATGAAGAGCGATAAATGAAGAATTTTCGTTTATTTCATCAGAAACTGTGTCTCAAGCTGATCCCTCAAACACTATAAGTAAGATCAAGAAAACAGATGATACCGTTATTCGATTGAATTCCGACATTTTTTCTCGAATACAAGCTTATATATCCTCTCATCCTCAGTATCACGAGGTAAAATGCCCTATTGAAACATACCCTATTGAACTTAAGCGCAACAATTAATGTCTAGCCGCCCCTCACATAAAATCTTTCAGAGTTAATCTACTTGATAAACAGAAACAACCAGTACCAGTTATTGAGATTGGAGCAAAATGAATCTGAAACGCTCAAATATTGAAAAATATATCACTGAATGTTTTTACGATGTTGACCGTGATTGAGTGTGATGTGTTTGCTTTGATGGTTTAAATTCGGGCGTTCTTACTTTTGTCAAAAGGGCCCCACTGCGATTTTGATAGTTCCTACCTATGAATCACTCTTTCTCTGAGAATGGAGATTTGGTGTTTCCGCTAAGGTCAACAGAATGAATACCCACTACCGTAATATTATACATCCAAAATAAGGCATTAAGAACTATGTTAAAGCTAGCGCCAAGAGATTCCTACAAAAATCACTTCATCAATCTTAAAATTCTGACCGTTCCCTCCCTCGTAGTCTACACGTGTATTTCAAATCGTGTAATTGATACCTCATAAGCTCCAGAGACACTTAATCCCAGTAAAATCAATACCAGATTCCATGTCATCACAAATGAAATCAGGAACAACCACTCTCTAAAACGCGGCCGAATTCTGTTTGAGAAGCTCCCCCCCCCCCCCTCTAAAAAGTAAATACAGGGATAATATAATAGTATTTTTAGAAAAAATGTCTTTATTGCCAAATGTTTATATGGTGAAGCGGAATATTTGGCATAAGTCATGTTTAATATTTTTTTCTATTCTTTTTTTTCCCCCTCTATCCTCATTAACATTGGCATATTTGTTTTAGCCGCTATGCGCATTCACAATTAAAAATATATTATTATTATTACAGCGGTCACGACCTCTGTATTATCCAAATTTGTCGGTGAAAATGAAACGAAGG